AATACCAACACATATTATACTTACAAATTGTCTCAAGTATCGAACAATACCGCTACTGAAGGAAAATTGGACTATGATACGGCGCGTGATATAATAATGTATGAGTTCGAGTAATGTGAAAAGCGAATGTAACGGAAACATTATGTGCATGGGCTCCAAAGTTCAGCGGGGAATCCCCGTATTTGCAGTCGAGTCTAGTCTGAAAAACAAAGACTTTGAAACATTTCGTTTTACTGATAACAAACTCTTGATTATTCTATTATCTTAGAAAAGGTAGACTTATGCTGATAAAAGCAAACATATATATTTTTTTTGTTACCCGAACAATGAAGGTTGTTTTTAATATACCATGATTTTATTTTGTTTTGAGCCTTGATCCCAGTTGTCTCATAAAATTAGGAGCATGGATTTAAAAACATGGGTTAATCAATATTGCCCAGGAAATCCTTTACCACTAGAATAGACAGTTTAAAGGTCAAGTCGACATGACAACATGATCTTCTTCTTCATTTGAAAAAGAAATCTGTTGATTCACAAGAGATAATACGGTCAAGTTTTTTTAAATGCTCACTTTATGTTGACTTATTTTGATGGTTCATTGGGAATCGGAATAGTTATGGTCTTCAGTAATAAACTGCTTTCATAATATAGACTTATTTATAACTAGCATTGCAGTTAGGTATTCATGCTCGAAGTATAAGCCTTGCTATACCGTATACTATTTTGTTGTGGAAATTTCAGAGTTATAGATGATCCTAGTTCATATATGCAGTAAAAATCACTTTTAAATGAAAATATATTATATGCCTTGTTACAAATTATTACTTTTATATAATTGAGTAAAGGTATATACGGTGCGTCCCAGAAAAAACGAAATCGAGAATTATCGATGTTTTATTATAACTTAATCACAATTATAATAAATAAATAACACATATTTTGTAAGGCTTAGATCCTCCTCTTTCATTTGATGCAACTCATATGATGCATATTTCACACATGAAACATTTCACTCATATGATTAAAAACAATTTGAAGAGCGGAAACCAAAAATCCATTTGGAGAAAATCACATTTCCAGAAAATTCAATTTCTGCCCTTTAATATAACACCTCAATCAGGAAAAATGAGCCAGGAATAAGTTCTGTTTATTAAAAGTAATGCTTGCATTTCCATAATTTTATCAGACGAATTCGTTTTCACTGGCTGCCTGCCGTAGCAACAAGCAGAATTGACAAAAGAGTTAACTCCGTTTCGTTGACAATCAACCATACAAATGAAGTTTTTCGTTTACAATTTTTGTAGTATATTACGTGACTAGACTCTATAGCCAGATAATTTGTTATTCTATATTCTCTTTATTTTTATTTTCTCGCGAGATAATTCGAAGTAGCCCAAAAGAGCAAAATCGGCTTCATCGAATTAGAAGAAAGAAGTCGTATACAAATTGTTGCTATTATATAAAGCGATGGGGATGATTTCGCTACAATGGTGGAATTTCTATTAACCACCCCCCCCCCCCCCCCCCCCTCACCGATTCCGTACATTCGCTACAATGGTGGCAGGGGTGGGATTTCTATTAGCCACCCCTTTGATTCCCCATTTTCACGCCATTCGACAAAATAATCTATCAATGATGGTGTAAAATAAGATAAAAACTTAGGTCGCTGCCCAGTATTCTTAAATGATGTATGATTTTGATAGAGAAATGTCTATAAATCACAAGCTAATCTGTGACCCACTGCATTTCAAATACCTGACACAAGCTTTAATCGTTGAGCTTCAGTTTTAGTTTTGTTTCTTTTATTTCACATGAAAAAACGATACATTAACAAAACATAGCATACTTACAAAATTGATAAACATGAATCATAAAGACATCTACACAGCATAAGTTTGTATTGGGGGGCTCTAAACGATTTTTGTCCCCACATTTAATTTCAAAATTATCTATATTGTAAATTTTACACTATAGATAATTTTGAAATTAAATGTGGGGACAAAAATCGTTTAGACCCCCCCCCCCCCCCCTCCCTTCCGATTTGACCCTCACGCCACCCCGTCGAATATGTCATGACCAATAGCGGTTAATTTGGCACGGAACCCATGGATAATATATACATGATTGCAATTAACATTAACAAAATTCTAACAATAACTTTTCATTCATCACACGTACCCTCCCCATTTGCTTAGAAGGTCCAACAGAGGGGGCTGGCAGGATCAAGTTGAATGAACATTCGTTTTATAGATAGAGATATAAACAGGATTATTCTCAATTTCATTTTACATATATTGATTTATAAAGAGAAGTTTAAAAAAATAAAATAAATCAATACGTCAATAAATAAAGGAAAATTATGTTAAAGACATACAGCAGAGTAAGAAGCACGATGAAATCAAACAAAAAAGATATTCAAGAAATATGTTATTTATCTGTATAATTCTGACTATAAATACATTTTTGTAATAATTGTACAGCTGCTGTTTTCGGCAAAGTAAGATTACACATACTATTTACAGGCACTATAGTAATTGACATTCTATGTATTTTGCATGTTTCATTTTTTTTTTTTTTTACTTAATGTGTTGTTTTATTTTAAATCCTTGTTTTTTATATTATTATTATTGTGGTATTTAGATTGCTACTCCTTTTAGTTTTACTGTAACATGACAACAATTTTGTCTTTAATTCATATTCATGAATGCTGCATGAAAACTTTGAAAACATAATTATAAACACAAAACTGCATGATTTCAACTTATCAGAAGAATTTTCCACTCCTATATCACATGCACATGGCTTTGATCCACATTCGTTGCACCAGCCCAAACTTTTTATAGCTTGGAGACAGAGGTGACGGACCGGGACACAGCGCCTCCATTTTTCAAGTACCCATAAAGTGCCCTTTTGTACATTGGAAAAGTGTCCCCTTTTACTTCAGATAAGTGCCCACTTTTTAAAAAATTTCTAATAGGTGCCCGTTCCACATTCTTAGAAGTGCTTCTTACCACAACTGATAAATGCCCCCTTCATCAATGATAATTGCTCATATTTAAATCTGAGAGGTGCCCTTTTACTTTAAAGGGATTTGGTAACTTTGTCTCAGATTCTGAAACAAAATCCTGGATTTAGCTCATGCTGCAATTATAATTATAAACATTTAGGTCAGTCAGGAACCCCATGACTTTTACAAGCCGCTCGCCTGTCTGATTATCAAGATATTTATGATTGAATATCGAAATCAAATTTTGCGTTTTCCTAACGGTTCTCATAACACTACAGTCTATTAGGGGGAAACGAGTATGGTAACCGCGGTCACTCAAAGATTTTTACTTTTTGAGACATTTCGTAATCATTTTGAAGCGCGATTTTTTTTTAGGGCTTCAATATTACACCATATCACAGACATTGATAACACGTAGGGCGATGAATCTCAGATTTAACATTTTTAAACGATTAACAAGTGTCCTTTCCTTTGTAACAAGCTCCCCTTTTCATCTCTGATGAGTGCCCCTTTTTTCTCTGATGAGTTCCTCCTTTTATACTGACACATGGCACATTCTTTTCTTTCTAATACGTGCCCTTTTTTCCTTCTGATGAATACCCCCTTTTTAAAATAAGAGCCCCCTCCCCTTCTCATAAATAAGCCTCTTCCCACATCTTTGATAAAATGCCTCTATTAAAGGCTAAGTTCACTCCAGAAATTTGCTTTTGATAGATGCAGAAAAATAAGAGAAACAGAGTAAACAAAAATTGAGTAAAATCTGATAACTAATAAGGAAGTAATGATTTTTTACGAGAAACATAGAAACAGAGAAAAATACTACACAAATTGCCAATTTGGTTATCAGTTTGTGACGTCATTGCCTCACTATTATTTTATCAATTGCTTTATATATTTTTATCCCCCAAAACTTGATTTCCTCATGCCTTTGCCCAGGTCATATGATTTGAATCATATTGCGTGCATGACATTTCCCAAAATCTTTTATGAACTTTGAAGAATTTACACTATTTTCTGAATACTGTATATTCATCATCATTGGTTTTATATAAATAATTTATCAAAATTCACATTTTTCATGATTTAACTGAAAAGAATATTAATCCATATTAGTGTATCACCACAAAAAATATAAATATCAATATAACTTGGATGCTGGTGTGAGGAAATAAGATTCTTAGGGGAGAAATGGGAAATTTATATTATCAATATGAAGAAAACAATTAGTAGATAGTGAGGCAATGACGTCACAGACTCATTAGTAAGTTGCCAATTTGTCTTGTGATTTTCAAAGTTGTGTCAAGTCATTAAAAATTCTTGATTTTTTTATTAGTTATCCGATTTTGCTCAAACTTATTAGGATTCGTTTGGCTGATTTTCCTGCTTGTATAAAAAGTTATTTTTGGAGTAGACTTGCCCTTTAAAACCTCAAAAGTGCCCCTTTCCTTTGACAAGTGCCCATTCTCCATTGTGATAAGTGCCCCCTTTCCGTTCTCACAAGTGTCCCTATCTATCTCAGGTGAGTTTCACTTTTCAGATACAAGAAGTGCCCCTTCACCTCTTATAATTGCCTTTTTATCAAATCTGAGAGCTGCCCCTTATATTTTGGCAAGTGCCTCTTTTTATATATGATAAGTGCTCCTTTTATTTTGACACGTGCCCCCTTTTCCTTTGAAATAAGTGCCCTCTTTCCGTTCTCATAATTGCCCTTTTCCATCTCTGGCGAGTGCATCTTATATTGTGCGAGAAGTGCCCCACTTTCACCTCAGATAATTCTCCTTTTATTTTAAAACGAACTCTTTGTCTTTTCTAATAAGTGTCCTTTTCCCTTTGGATAAATGCCCTTTTTTCCATTTACCATCAAATTTAAAGCGACTAAGGGTACTTTTTTCACCCAAAGCTCGCTCGCATTTAAATTTGATATAATTTTGTTTCTTATGAAAGGTCTTTTCACTCTCTCATGATTAGATTGGGCTTAAAACTCCATCATGATTGTATTTTCCTTCTAAGCCGACTTACAACGAATGCGGGTTCCTCTTTAATTTCCAAAAACTGTGTTGCAAACAGTGTCCCTCCTTAGATTAGAATACACCTTTTGATTTCTCAAATAATCATAACCCTGATCCACTTCGAAGTTGAGAAAATCGTGTGTCCACTATGTCAACGTGCAAATCTAAAAGTCCCCATTGTTAACTGATAAATTTCAAATTTCTTTCCCCTCTCCTATTTCCTATATCCTTTCTTTCTCACTTCAAGAGTGGGCCCATGACTCTTGATATCATGCAGGCTCCCATCGCCCTCTCTGATTCCAATATTGTGTTGCTTGTTTTTGATTTTCCAGAACCAGTATGACAAAAATACAGCCACTATTATTATTAATGGAAACAAACCGATACTGCTTACAATCACCAGAATAGTCATGAAGATGCACATGATGACGAAGATGACGAAAATGACGAGACTCATTGCGGATTGGAACCAATTAATGACAACATCGAAGGCTGATTTCAAAGGGGATGACTCCAGAGGTTTGACTTCTCTTGCGAACGCCGTAAGTTGGTTCCAATCGTCGCTATCCATCTGCACGGTGTTGTCCAAGCTTCCACTGAGAAGTACGAGTGAGGAGCATTTCACAGCCGTTGGCTGGTTCATCCGGAAGGTCTCCATAGTAGCTTTCTTCTGAAATGGCCAAGAAAAGTCATGTGCGATCACGACTACATTCTCCTTCCCTATACAAAACGCAAGAGGAAACATGAAGACAGAAGAGAGCTTTGTAAGGTTCATCACAGGTGCCGTCAGAAGACTTTAAAATGAGAAGGTGGAGAGGGGGGGGGGGTATACAATCAAATTTGCAGTTCGTCGAAAGGTGAATTTTTGCAACAAACATAAAAGGGATAATAATTTGGTTTGATAAGGGTACAAAACTAGTAGTTACTTTCAAATTTGCGAAAGTGGTATAAATAGACAAGAAAGTAGGACAGAAAATAATTGCAACAAGCAACAAAAAGGGGACCATTATTACCGACTTCTCTGATTTGCAGAAAAGAGCAAAGGGGGGTTATGAACATGAAATACAAGAAAAAAAGAAAGAGAGAAAGAGAGAAAGAGAGAGAGAGAGAGAGAGAGATGGGGCAGTGTCAGTCACTACAGCATGGAAGGATTTTCCAAGGCAAGACGGGTTAAGCATTTAGGTCCATACTGGGTTAAGTAAAACCTTCATGTGTCTCTTGGGCACTCCAACAACAATATTATTCAGTGATTCCGATGAATTTATTTAGATAAAAAGTATATTTTTGTAAAATGAATTGATAAACATAAGAGTGAAAAGAGGATTTAAAAAAAGACGATGATTGTTTACCAAGATGTTTCTTAGCTCTGGGCAAGTACTTATCGTAGATTGCATCTAAGACATCAGTAATGGCAAGGCGTCTGTTCTGGATAGAGTGACAAAGGATCAGTCCATCAAGTCGTTCTTGCTCCAACGGATAATTATCGAGATCGTTGTAAGGTAAAGAGACCATTCGGAAGTTGATCATTGGCAGAGTCGATCTCAACTTGGACAAGAGTCCTCCGATGTTTCTCTCGAAAGCAGATGTACACACACCAATAGTGATGGCCATGGCGGATGTTCTCCGGTGTACCTACAAACAGCACAAGGCCTGAAATGATGAGATCGAAGAATTTGAAATCGTTGAACTGATCAAAAATAATGTACATCAATTTTTACTTCCTAACAATAATACATTTATGGAGCTCAGAAACTATCCAGCATTAAGTATGCGCTACAAGAGCCCCTGATATGCTTAGATTTACAGTTCATTAAAAAAGATGTGTTTTCAGTTTTTATTTAAAGATATTCACAGATGGTGATTTCCTGACTTCAAATGGTAATTTATTCCATAGTTTGGGGCTGCACAAGCAAATGCTCGATCACCTAGCGTTATTTTTGTTTTGATAAATGGGATCTGCAGCAACAATGTATTTCGGGAACTGCGCAAGTTGCGATTGTGTTGATTAAGTTTGAAATTCAACAGTATAATAATAATATTAGGGAGCTTGACCAAGATGTGCTTTATATACAATCAGCAAGATTTTGATTGTTATTCTCTGGCGTACTGCTAACCAATGTAGATTTCTTAAAATTTGGGCTGTATAGGCAGTATCCTCACAAAATAAGGCCTATATAATTATTTCATCTTATTGCATTTTGTTACACAGCTCCTTTGCAGCCAAGTAGATGAATGGTATTGGTAGGTAATTACGTATTTGAATCAATGAATTAAAAGACTACTTGCTTTATTGAGATGACTAAAAACTTATCCATGTAATTTAATGATAATCATGTAGCAATGACAATAATGGATGATTGTAAAGTTTTTAATCAGGATGTTGATGATAATGATACTTATAATAATGATACTAATGATGATGATAATGATGCTGATGATACTGCAGTGATAGTAATAAAGCTAATGATGATGCTATTGAAAACCAAAATAATGATATGCACATTTGCAATAAGCTTTAGGCCTTTAGTTATCATAATAACAATAATGCGCAATTTCTGTACAACATACACAGTGAAGATCCTTGGAATGTCGGAAGAATAGTAACTTGTCAGTTTATTTTCTTACATAGGAAGCCAATGCAAATCGCAAATTAGACCCGAGAAAATTTAGTGGAGTTAAAGAGGAGTCTGCATGCCACATATATTTGTTTGCACAAGTTACAATGAACATTATTTTGAGGGTATGAAGCATAGTCCATTACATGATTGTGATGGAATGATTAAAGATAAAGGTGAGTTCTGGTAATGCGATTGCATTGTGAAAGAAAAGGTGTGGAATAGATCAGAACAAGGTCATCATGTAGCATGTAAGTATTGATGTGCACTGCAAGGTTGTGGAGTCATCAAAATCATAATAAATTTGGCCCAGTCTTGGTAAAGTATACAGCACTGTACACAGAAAGATGTATATGGGACTACACAAATTGTGTCGGAGCTAGCTCACCTTGATTCCCTTATCTTTCCATGCTCATTACTCAGCCAGTATACATTTTTTCCAAAATTGTTTGGCACATGACATTTATTTGAACATTCAGTGTAAGTTTCGTTTAAGTTCTGTGAGAATTCATTTTCTTTATTTTACCAGAACTCAAGTTTATCTTTAATTTCAAATGATTTGCTTGTTGTTTGCTCTCTCTCTCTCTCTCTCTATACAATACAATGTTATACTTACAACAACATACATTGTTTTGAAATTAGAGTGAGCGATGGAGTTTTTTTGGGTTCAGAGTCTTTCTATATTTTGCATTGACAAAAATCTACCATATAGGTATTTGGTTTTGAAATTGCAAATACGAATCTACGTACTAAATGAAAATAAACAATAACAACAAAATCGTGGAACGGAAAGACATCTTTCTTTAGTTATCTGACGCCAATAATGGTGTCGCTTTATGAACGATCTCATTATTATCATCATCATCCCTGTCGCCATATTCTTCTTCATCATCATCATCATTATCATCATCATCATCATCATCGTCATCATCATCATCATCATCATCATCATTTTCACATTTCATTATTGAAGAAAAAAAAAGGAAATACAACACATATTATACTTACGAATTGTCTCACGTTTCGAACGATACCGCTACTGAAGGAACATTCGACTATGTTACAGCGCGTAATATAATAATGTATGAGTTCGAGTAATGTGAAAAGCGAATGTAACGGAAACATGGTATGTGCCGATGGGCTCCAAAGTTCAGCGGGGAATCCCCGTATTTGCAGTCGAGTCTACAATGTAAAAAATAATAGTCGAAATAACTCAATAAAATTGAGGAAAAGAATTGCCTTATTTTTATTAAGTAAATATTACCTATGGCATCTTAAGTAGAATTTACTTATTTTGCTGAATAAATTTTTACTCAGTTAAATCGAGTTACATTAACGTAAATAATTTAAGTATTGTAATCATTTTAGATAATTAAAAAAAAGCTATGATAGGATTACATATTGCACGATTTGGTACCCATCTAATCTACCAAGTAACATCCACTAATCATTCACTACTTCTATTTAAGATTAATCACTAATCACCATCACAAACTATTACATACGCTTCAATTCGACACATATTGAAAGGCTCCAATTTTTATATATACTTGATCGTAACATCTTAAAAGGAAAATTGGTTGACAATTTCCTGAAATATCGAGTTATGATTTGTTTTGAACTGGGTAACAATTAAAAATTGTCTTGTCTTTGCTTAGCCATGTTAAATGAATTAGTAAATGTTTTAAAGTCCTTAAATGTTCATTCAACCACAAAAAAGAATTGTTTTATTTAAAAAAGAGTTTAATTTGGTCTTAATGAATATTCATAAATTATGTAAATATTTCTATTACGCACTGCATCGATCCTTACTTTAAAAAGATAAGAATAATCAACATAAATTGTTTGAGTAATACGTATAATTTCTGATTTTGAGTTAAAATTACTAAATTAATACAAGCTGAAATTACTTACAGTTCTTATGTATTTGATTTTACTTAAATAATTCCACGTATGTTCTACTAAATTGAAAGTTTGAGTTAGCAAGACTTAAATTTAGTGCGTAAGTGGCAAAACTAATGTTTTCAAGTAAATTCTACATGGAAAAAATACGTAAAAATTACCAATGAACAAATTCTTTTTTACAGTGTAGTCTGAAAAACAAAGACTTTGAAACATTTCGTTTTACTGATAACAAACTCTTGATTATTCTATTATCTTAGAAAAGGTAGACTTATGCTGATAAAAGCAAACATATATATTTCTTGTTACCCGAACAATGAAGGTTGTTTTTAATATACCATGATTTTGTTTTGTTCTGAGCCTTGATCCCAGTTGTCTCATTAAATTAGGAGCATGGATTTAAAAACATGTGTTAATCAATATTGCCCAGGAAATCCTTTACCACAGACAGTTTAAAGGTCAAGTCACCATGACAACATGATCTTCTTCTTCATTTGAAAAAGAAATCTGTGAGACAGTACGGTCAAGTTTTTTTAAATGCTCACTTTATATTTTGATTTATTTTGATGGTTCATTGGGAGACGGAATAGATGGTCTTCAGTAATATACTGCTTTCATTTTATAGACTTATTTATAACAAGCAAAAATTAATTGCAGTTAGGCTTTCATGCTCGAAGTATAAGCCTTGCTATACCGTATACTATTTTGTTGTGGAAATAAGTTATAGATGATCCTAGTTCATAATATTATATGCAGTAACAATCACTTTTAAATGAAAATATTTATATGCTTTGTTACAAATTATTTCCTTCAAACAATTGAGTAAAGGTATATATAGTAATGAAAATTCGGAAACAATTTCTTCTTCATTTTGCGTGTAGTTCATATCTTTATGAAAGATTTTTTAAAGTTTGAAATAGGTGGATACATCATCGCTAAATGCATATTTTGATACTGTCAACATATAATCTCAACCCATTCAAGTTATATGTATTGTTCCGATACAACTTTTGGAAATGGAAGGGGGAAGAACAAAAATTACTGACAGACAGTGATAGAAATAAAGCTGTTATCGCATGCCATGCACGCGTGCAATCTATACATAATATACATCACCATCATTCATCATCATAACAGTATACTGATGATGATGTAATAAAGAACAGCCTATATGATAGGTGTTTTTAAAACTCGCTAACTCTATGTGAAGGTACATGTTTATTACTTTTTATTAGTAATGTTCACGCCCTTCTGGCTCCAAAAAGCTATTTTTTCGCATTTCCTTTCACATGAAAGTAAAGAATTATAATTCACAATCTATGACCTATATCGACATAATTATGACAAAATGAAATAATATATGTTTTACCAGGGCGATGTATGCGACAACTGCTCTTAAATATCAATGCCATCATGTCAATTCGGCAATCTAGGGATTTCACAGGGGCGCCCCCACTTCAAATACTTAGAACACCCAAAGGTACAGAAGTTAGAAGTATACTGCAAATTCGCGCAAAATTGTGTATACAAAAATTACACAACTTTACACAACGAATTTGCAGTGTAAAGTTGTGTAATTTTTTGTCCACAACTTAACACAACCCCTGTGTAAGGAGTGAACCACCCAATGTTGTGTTAAATCTTTACACAACGAAGTTGCATTAATATAGCCGTATAAGGACCCCTAACCTGCATTGTCATTCAATACGAAAACACCATGTCTATAGGATTCTAATTGAATATAACGTCATGCCATAGAGAATAAAAGTTCTTTATCTAGAGACTACCCTTTTTGTTTTAATGACTAAACTTTCACAAACCGTGACAAGAGTCGGACACTTGCTAACAAACTCATGAACTTATATAGGCTTTATTCTATGGAATTTAGATATAATATTAACCATTGTTATGGACAGTTTTTCAAAAAATGCTAAGTTTTATAATTTATTAAAATATGGAGAGATATGCATTTTCGGAAAAAATTGTCACAAATTTGGGCTCAAAATTGTTATGCGAATTATCATAGCACCTAATGCGATATCATCTTATAGGCAATTTAATTCCTTTTCATAATTATGACACCTCACGCATGGTAAAATGAAGTTCCCTCAAAGAGTAATCTGCCAAATCGTTCAAAAGTAGTTATACATGGCCGCCAGTGTTTTCCTGCAGCATAATTTCAAGGAAGTCCACCTAGAAACTTTGCAGAAATTATGCAGGGGGGGGGGGGGGGGGGGGAGTGCTCTGAACACATTGA